AAAAAAAAAAAAAAAAAAGAGCATAGTACACTGAAACTAGAAATCAATTGCAAAAGAAACCACAAAAATTTTGCATATACCTGGACATTAAATAACACACTTCTAAATACTCAGGAGATCACAGAAGAAATCAAGGAAGAAATTCAACAATTCCTAGAACCAAATGATAATGCCAGTACAACATGCCAGAAGCTATGGGACACAATGAAAGCAGTCCTATGAGGGAAGTTTATTGCTGTGAATGCTCACATTAGGAAAAAAAAAGAGCGGGCCAGAGATTTAGCTCAGTGGTGCTGCCTCCTACCTCGCAAGCCCAAGGTCCCGAGTTTGATCCCTGGTACCAAAAAAAAAAAAAAGAAAAAAGTGAGCTCAAATAACCTAATGATGTACTACAAGGTCCTAAAGTAACAGGAACAGTCCAAACTCCAACTAAGTACAAGGAAGGAAATCATAAAAACCAAAGTGGAAATTAATGAAATGGAGACCAAAGAAAAACAATACAAAGAATCAGTGAATTGAAGAGCTGGTTCTTTCAATGAATATTCTGATTTTTGAGGCAGGTGCTAACAGAGTTCCTCTAGGGTACAAAATATGGAGGTTTGGGGAATATAGAGACCAAGGAGGAAGCTTCAGGGAGAGAGTGGAGCCTAGACTCTGAGTATCAAGAGAAGATACGGCCTTGAATCTGACTGATGTTTGTGTTCTCTTTACGGGATCTCTTTATGGAACCAGCAGGCTCACGGTATTCACAGTGCTTCTCCTGGAGCCTAAGTTCAAGTTCAGCTTCACTACTTCCTAGAGTGATCTTCATGCACCTTGTGCAACAGTTTCCTTGTCTATAAAGATGGGTGAACATGAGGATCACCAGTGTTAGTACGTACATATGAAGAGCTCAGGAAAGTGCTTGGCACACAGAAGTATGTAGTGTGTGCTCCTGGCAGTGCTGGTGTGTTGATACTATCAGAATGCTTTCTTGGCAGCCATTTAACTTTGACACACATTTATGCACATGTCCTGAAAAGGCCGAATGCAGAGACCTATTTGTAAAGAGGACCAATTCTAGAGGAACCTCTTTCCCTTTGCTGAGGGTCACAGGTCAGCCAGCCACCTCACTAGTGGAGATTACTATCAGGAAGTACTCTTGAATGAGCTCTGCCCCCTCACTAGCTAGGTGGCCTCAGGCAACTCTCTTCCTTCTCCAAGCCTCAGCTCCATCATCTGTGAGGGATAATCATGGTACCTGCCTAATGGGGCTGCTGTGAGGCTGGATGAATCATGTCTGTAAGTGCTTAGCACTGATTCAAGAAGCACCCAATAAAAAGTAGCTGTGAGAGTCCCACCCAAACTCCTCTCCCTGTTCTTCCACATCGGCAGATACTGGTCCTTCCTCTCTGCTCCTCCCTAGCCTTGCTCCACCCTTCTCAGAAAAGCAGCCCACTTCTTGCTCACTCTTATTCCATTGCCTTTCCCAAAGCTGCCCAAGCCCTCTGCTCAAATACCAGACATTTTTGCCTGACTTGACCTCGCCTCTTGAACCTCTTACTCCAGTGAGGGGAATCAATGGTAAACAAATAATGTTTGTGATATAATTATGAATTGTCATAAGCAATACGAAGGACAAGATTAGGGTGCTATGAGAGATAATGACAGATAAGACTGCTCTTCAGGCTGAAGAGTCAGAGTAGCTATGACCTGAAGAGGAAGGAGGAGCTGTTCTGGGAGACAGAGAGCCATGGGGGCAGAGAGATATGGGAAGCATTCCCAGCAGAGGGAACAGCAGAAAGGGTCTCCAGGCAGGAGAAGACCCTAGTATTTCCTTTACCCTTCAAAGCCTTCCTCTTCCAGAAGCTTCCCAGGATTGATCCCACCACCACTGCGCACATGAGCATGCATGAGCATAATGAATTATCTCATATCTCTTTGGTGTTTTGAGGATCTAATTCCTCTCCAAGCAAACCCAGAAAGGAAATGTACATATAAATAAAGTCAATGAAAACTTTTACTTAATAAAAGAATGAGCTCTCTTTGATATTGCCTTTGCAAAAGAAGTACTATAGGATTCCTTCAGGTAGGAGCTCCTCCCATGTATATGAATTGATTTTTTTCTTCCTGGTACTGGGGATCAGACTCACAACCTTACACTTTCCAGGCAGGTGCAGCACCACTGAACTACATTCCCAGCCCTCCTCCAGTGTATATGAACCAGAGTCCAGGAGGGAACAGACCCTCGACAAGTGTCTGCTGTGAATGAATTGCTCTGTTTAGTAAAGTAAGGCAACTAGAGGTCTGCAGTTTATGTTGAAAGGCATCTAAAATGTACCAACAGGTGGCTAGATGTATAGATGTGTGACCAAGCAAGTGTAGCAAAATACTTATGGTAGAATCTAAGTGGTGAGAATGCAGGTGTCCACTGTGAAACTCTTTCTTTTTTTTGGCCCTTTTGAAACATTTTCAAAGTAAAGTATCAAGGGCAGAGGGAAGGAACAGACATAATAAAATGATGGTGTCCCACAAAATAAGGGAAAGGGCTGTGAATATAAAATTTCAAGGACTTTATTATACAAATGCAGGTCCTTCCTCTCCCTGGTCGTTCTTTATCTCTCTTGATACATTGTTTTGTATTTGTTTTCATATTCTGTTTACATGCTGTCTCCCTGAACAGCCAGATTTTCCAAAGGCCAGAACACTACCTCTTAATTTTGGTCCCAGGATTGACGGAATTTGGAAGCTGGAAGCAATGATTGTAGTCCATACTTACAGATACCTCACCACCTTCATAGAGGAGGAAATTATGGCCCCTGAGGGAGGGAGGAATAAGCTGCCCCCAGGCACCTGTTCTTGATGGGAATGCAGGATGCTAGCACCCTGCCAGTGCTTGGGAAGTGGCAGAGAGATCTGGAGGACAAGTGTGAGAAGCGGGACTCTGGCAGTAGCTTGGGAACCAGATTCAGAGCTGTCACTTTCTCACGGCTTGTGCCCTTGTCCCGCTGAGCCTCAGTTTCCTCCCCCAGACAATGGGGCTGATAAAAGGACTTCTGCTTTTAAATTATGGAAGTCTTAAGTGGTTACAAGTGGCTTCACACGGTATTAGAGTCTCTTAAGGGCTCAGTACATAGCGGTTGCTGTCATGACTTCTCTGGGCTTTGAGTGGTCCGTGAATATGAAAACTGGGCCTTCTGTGTCTCCATTCAGTCACTGGTGAAGCGGCCCTCCTGTCACCAGTGTGTCTCCTCCTGCGTGAGCCTTCTGCCTTCCTCCCCTTCCTCAAGGGCTCTCCTATGTGTCTCTGTCCTCTCTCCTTATCCCTATGATGCCAAACAGAATAGCATTCATAGTTCTCTTCCTCTCCATACTGCTCATGCAAACTTGGTCTCATTTCCCAGCCCTGCAAGCCTCCACGTGCCTTCCTATAAAATGAGGCCAGTAACAGTACCTCTTACCTAACTGAGTGGTTGGGAGGATTCAATTATGCCATTCATTTAAAGCATCCAGCGCATCTTCATTACACAATAAAAACAAGCTACTATTATTCTTTGGGCGCCACGCCCCCGAATGAGAATGCTACCCTCTTGGTCTCCACCTAGGTGCCCCCATTCTCTCCCTGGTGCCCTATGTCCCCGCCACTGACCAGCAGTGGCTTTTCCTGCATGAGTGCTCTTCCCAATGCTGAGCACAAACTTTGCACACTGGAAAAGTGTGCCTTGTCCCCTGAACTGCCCTCTTAGAGCTGATCAGCTTGAAATCTCCACCTTGATCCATCCTGTGCAGCAGACCCCAGCTCCTTCAGCAGAGAACAAGAAGAGAACATAGAAGCCCCCACTTCCTCCACTCTTATCCCTCTTTATGGAGCACAGTGGACCATGATGAGAGAAGAGAACAGGTCATATTTATTCATAAATCTCAGTACAGCCTTTTAAGGGACTCCGGGAACCTCTCCCCCACCCCTAGTTCCTCAGGTCATTTCAGCTGGTATGACAACAGGAACGTCAGTGTGCCAGGGTATCAGTTCAGGGCATGATGTTGGCGACGCTCTGGAAGAGAGGAGAGAGGGAGTGAATGAAGAGTGCACAGCCATGAGGAACTCCAGACCCAAGCCCATTCAAGAAGTGAGAAGGAGACTGGCTACTCTGGCCCAGGAACTGTTTGTGTTCTAGTTTCAGAAGGGTGGCACCTCATTTGGGGAGAATAAGGAGCCAGCCCTCCCAGTTAGAAGGGCTGGAGTCTCTATGGAAAGCAAGGAGCTCTTGCCCATTTTGCCTCTGAGGACCCTCTGCCACCCCTGTAGCCCGGGCCAGAATGGGACTCACATGCCCTGAGCCCTGAGTCCCCATCTCATGCTGTAGATGTACTAAGTACAAAGGTAGAGACAGGACTATGGGCCCAGAGTGAAGACCAGGATTCCCCAGGAAACTTGCCCTCTCAACCAGGGAAAAGACAGAGGTCTGAGCACCCACTGCCCAGCACACTGACACAAGGCAGCAGGGGTGGGTTTACGAGCTGTTCCCAGGAGGATAGAAAGGGAGGGAAGCCAGCCAGCTACTGGGAATCCAAGGAGAGATGGCTTCAGCAGTCCCTCCCTCTCTGACTCCTAGATGCTCCAGTGCCCTGAAGGTTGTTTCTACCAGCTGTGTTTGCCTCCGTGGGAATGGAGCGAACCCAAGAGCTGAAGGCCAGAGCAGGTGATGCAAGGGAGGAGCCAGCCAGAACAGCTTGGATGTCTCTGCAGAGACCGAGTCTGTCCAAAGGGAAGCTGTCTCCACACAAGCCATGGGAAAGGGATGGAAGACCATCTCTCAGGACAAAGAGCAGAAAGTAGAAACCGTACAGGCACCTACCCTCCACAGACCCAAAAAGTTGATGAAAGGCTTGTTGACCGAGGCCTGGAATTCAAGGAGAAAAGGTCACTCGCCAGCTCCCACCCCACCACCATCCACTCCAAGTGACCTCCACCCCCCAACCAGGTCCACACTATGCCCGGAAGACTTACTCCAGATGCTAATGGGGTGGTTGCGATTCCTCCGTGCTGGCCGGTATGCCCGCTGTATTGAGAGCCCTGTGGACAAAGCCCAGACAGTCATTACCACCCCGTCTGGCCTCAAGGGCCTCTAGGTTCCTCTTACCCAGTGTCTTGCTCCCCTTTGGGGTGGTTGGGGGTGGTGGGGTGGAAGGCACAGGCTGACTCTGCATCCTCACTTTCTGTCCACAGAGAATACCCAAAGTCCACATTGCTGGAGGAGATGTGTGAGATGGGAAGGATGCCTGCCTCCTGTTGCCTGGCCTTTTGTGAACCCCTTTTACTTGGGCATCGGGGAAGTACTCCCAATCACTGAGGGGCCTGATGGGAAGGGAAACCCAGAAGGTCAGTGCAAATACCAGGACTATGGTTTACCCTCAGCCCTAACCTCAAATCAACCCTTCTACACAGTCTAGCCTCAACCGTACCTCACCCTTATCCCTCTCCTTGACCTCACCCCATCACTCAGCAGTGTCACCCCAGCTGCACTCCAACCCCAGTTGCTCTTGTTGTCTCAAGTCCCACCTCAAACCACCTTCCCCAGCCTCCACTCAAGTGGTCTGACTCAGGGGCCTCTTTCTACACTGGCACTTCCTCCCCACCCACCCCTCTCTGGCTCCCTGCCTGCCAGAAGATGTGGCTCTGAGCTTTGAGGCCTGGGCCAGTCCTCAAGGTATTGTCACAATGTGCTAATCCAATGACTGCTCTTGGAGACTGGAAAATGGGGAACTGAGGGATAGCCTTCTGCTATCCCCCAAGCTCCCTCCTTAATGCCTGTTGCTTTGTGGATGGGACTGCTCTCCTAGCCACTAATATGTTTCCCCTGTATAAATGAGAAAGAGAAAGCCTTCAGAAGGCCTCTCTTGATCAGCTGTAGAGGAAGAGGAAGAACCATAACCTATAATTCTCCAACTAAGCACTCGCCACATGACCTTAACAAATCCCCTTAGCCTCGCTTTCCTTATCTGAGCATCAGGGAGTCAGCATCCTCATCCCATCCACCTTAGAGGATTGTTACAAAGATTAAGCACAAAGGAGCTTATCTCCAAATGCAGTTCCTCATGCTCACTCTTATACTCTGGTTTTTCTCAACAGTCATTCTGTCTGCAGTTGAGAGATCTGATTTGAGAACTGTTTCCTGTTTCTAAGAAAGACTACATGTTGTTCACTTTAGATCCCTTCAGTAGAAGGACAGTTTCCTAAAGGTGGGACTGGGTCCCTTCCACACATCTGAGGTAGGCTTCGCAGGTAAGAGAGCTTAATTTAGCTGACCTACTTACTAGGTCCTTAGTATGAGAAGGGAGAAGGGGAACACAGTTATATGGGTTCCCAAGCTTCTTTGACCAATGAAGACTACATGGGCTGCCCAAATATGCCAAGGGTTTGACCTCTCCCACCCACCCCTTCTCCCCAGTTTCCCCACCCCTGTTCACCTACATTCAGCAGCCGGGTGGCCTCCTTGCTGGCTTGGTTGACCCCATTATGAACATCCTGCTGCAACCTGTCCACATCCTTCCCGGCCTGGCCAGCAGCATGGTGGACACCTTGGCCAGGTTTCTCCGCCTCCTTTCCAGCCTGGCCCGCAGCATAGTTGACCGCTTGGCCATATTTCTCTGCCTCCTTCCCGGCCTGGTTGACCCCAGCATGGACCCCTTGGGCCACTTTGTCCGCCTCCTTTCCGGCCTGTTCAACGGCATGGTGAACTCCCTGGCCAAAGTGCTCTACCTCCTTCCCAGCCTGGTTGACCCCAGGTTGGATACCATGGATTACCTTGCCTCCCTCTTTCCCAGCCTTCCCTGTAACATACTGAGTATCATGGCCAAACTGTTGTGCCTCCTTTGCAGCATGGCTAAGCTCAGGTTGGGCCCCTTGGATTATTTTTTCTCCTGCTTTCCCAGCCTGACCAAAAGCATGGTGGGCCCCTTGACCAAACTTCTCTGCCTCCTTCCCAGCCTGACCAAAAGTATGGTGGGCTCCTTGACCAAACGTCTCTGCCTCATTCCCAGCCTGACTCACACCATGGTGGATCCCCTGGCCAAACTTCTCTCCCTCCTTCCCAGCATGACCTGCAGCATAGTGGACCCCTTGAGCAAACTTCTCTGCCTCCTTGCCAGCCTGATCTGCAGCATAATAGACTCCTTGACCAAAGTTCTCTGCCTCCTTCCCAGCTTGACCAAAAGCATGTTGAGCTCTTTGACCAAATTTTTCTGCTTCATTCCCAGCCTGACTCACAGCATGGTGGAGCCCCTGGACAAACTTCTCTCCCTCTTTGCCACCCTGACCTGCAGCAAGGTGAACTCCCTGACCAAAGTTCTCTGCCTCATTCCCAGCCTGACCTGCAACATAGTGGACCCCTTGACCTAACTTCCCTCCATCTTTCCCAGCCTGCCCAAAAGCATAGTAGGCTCCTTGAATGAACTTCTCTCCCTCCTTCCCAGCCTGACCTACAGAGTGGTGAATCCCCTGCCCAAAATTCTCTGCCTCCTTCCCAGCCTGACCAAAAGCATGATGGGCTCCTTGAACGAACTTCTCTCCCGCCTTCCCAGCCTGACCAAAAGCATGATGGGCTCCTTGACCAATATTCTCTGCCTCTTTCCCAGCCTGACCAAAAGTATGGTGGGTCCCTTGACCAAACTTATGTGCTTCCTTTTCAGTCTGACCAAAAGCATGGTGGACCCCTTGACCAAACTTCTCTCCCCCCTTCCCAGCCTGCCCAAAAGCATGGTGGGCCCCTTGGCCAATCTTCTCTGCCTCTTTCTCAGCCTGACCAAAAGTATGATGGGCTCCTTGACCAAACTTATGTGCCTCTTTCTCAGCCTGACCAAAAG